GAGATAACACCTCTGTTTCCTTAAACAGGAATAAGCCCCCCTTTTCCAGGGTAATCCAGGAGCAGCTCTTCTAGGCAACATGAGAGAGACTAACACATGGTTGTCATGAGAATATAAGTGAATTATCATGCAGAGTGACCAGTAAATAAGCCACAGTGAGAGAAGAGGCAGTGGTCTTCAACTGGGTCCAGTATCAAAGCAAGCTAGCCGTGAAAAGAAGGTCCGACCAAGGGACATTTACAGAATAATCCAGTCCAATCTCCTCATTTCACATATGAGGCAAGAAGAGCCCTGAGAGGCTGGCTGACTAGCCCAAGGACCTTAACCAGTTAACAGCAGAACCTGCAGGTCTTCTGATTCCCAGTGCTCCCCACAACACTCCCAGTGCACACGTCCCAGCCTAGACAAGGTTGGCTGTGTTGTGATGTCCCTGCTGCCTTATTTATTTATTTATTTTTTGAAATCCAGGACTTCACAATGAAGCTCAGAAAGCTTAGGCTTCAGAGTGCCTCCCCTGCACCAGCTCTGCACCTACTTTTAAATTTGTAATTTTGTGAAGTTTTTTTCTTAATATTGTTTCCCAAATTATGTAAGCTTCATACCCACAAAACATGGGTCCAGCCCTGGCAGAGGGAATGGCTTACTTGGAAGGGGAAGGACTCTCGTGGAAGAAGGACTAAAGGAAAAAAATAAGAAAAAGACAAGGGAAAGATCCAGGATTCCCCTATAATCCATGGGGTGAGTCTGTTGCCTTTTTACCCTTCCAGGGATTTACTCCAAAAGAGAAAATGATGCCAGGGGCTCCGAGCAGGAAATCGCTATAAACCCTGATTTGGGGGGTAATCCCCGAGAGCTGGGAGGCATCAGAAACAGCTAGGTTAGGCAGGGAGCAGTTGCTCATGCCTACAATCCCAGCACTTTGGAAGTCCGAGGATCACTTGAGCCCAGGAGTTCGAGGTTGCGGTGAGCTATGATTGCGCCACTTACTCTAGCCAGGGTGACAAGAGTGTGACTGTCTCTAAAAAACAAATAAAAATAAAGCAGCTAGGTTAGATCAGTGAAGAGGAAAGTCAGGCGCAGGGAGCAGACTGGAAACAGTATGAATAAGGTCTTCCCCCATGACAACTCCTGCGGCGGTTCCATAAAGAAGAATGCATCCAAGCGATCCCCCGGATGTATGTTCAGCCTAGGCTGAACAAGAGAAAAGGGAGAATATTGACTCCGGATGCTAGACCTGGCAAGCCCGATGGACTCTGGAGCAGGTCTTGTGCAGGCTGCTCCTTTGGAAGGAGTCCCACTTCGGAGACGCGACTCTGCAAGGCAACGCATCTTTGTGACCATGGGTAGGCTGCATTCCAGGCTCCTTCCATCTGCCTGCTCTGGTTCACCTCTTAAGGAATTTTAAAAGTTTATTTTTCTCTCCTTATTTAAAAATGCTGTTCTTGTTATTGTAAAATAAAAACAATTGAAAAAATGTTAGAAAATGCATACAATGGCCTGTGGTCTATTAAAGAAAACTACTTAGATTATGTTGATGTATGTGCTTACAAACTTGTCTAAACATTATATATACACAGTATGTAGTGTTAGATATAAACATTATACGGAATTCTGTTTTTGCTTATATGTATGTGCATATTCTATAGGA